AGTGGACTGAGTGTCCTGCAGTCCTCCCCAGAGCTGAGTGTCCTGCAGTCCTGCCCAGAGCTGAGTGTCCTGCAGTCCTGGTCAGTGGACTGAGTGTCCTGCAGTCCTGGTCAGTGGGCTGAGTGTCCTGCAATCCTGCCCAGGGCTGAGTGTCCTGCAGTCCTGGTCAGTGGACTGAGTGTCCTGCAGTCCTGGTCAGAGGGCTGAGTGTCCTGAGGTACTGCCCGGGGCTGAGCTAAATAAAGCAGCTCAGTGTTGGTGAGACACTGCAGTAGATGAAGGACTCCCTTCCTGCAAGGGCTTTGGTTGTTTTCGCAGTCTTTCCTTGCCAAGGAGAGCTTGCCCTCTGTGTTGCAATACTAATAACTGCCCTGCTCCCCTGCCACAGCCCGCTGTCCCCTTGTTATTCGCATTCCGCAGCATGAGGCTAATGTGAACTAATGAACCGAAACAGCATCACTTGCCCTCCGCCTGCCGCCAGTGGAACTCCGCGCAGCTCCGAAAGGCCCGGCACAGCTTCAGACACAACCTGTGGCCGTGGACTGGCCCGGCAGTCCCCACCTCCTCTCCTGCACAGCGCCAGAGGGACACCACTGGGCAACCACATCCAATTCCGTTTCCATTTCGCAGAACGCCTTGCTTCTTTTGTCTCCTGAATCCTGTACTAAACCTTGCGCAACAAAAACGCCAGGAATCTGGGCCTTGGTGGTGCCTGGCAGACATTTTGCCCTAGAATCTTGGTTCATGACTGGGCGCAGCTCTGTATCCACACATATAAGTGTACAGGCCCAAAAGAAAAGGCGTGAAGTTTTCATCTAAGTACCCGAATGCCTTTTCACTTTCATTTGTCACCTCTGCCTGTGTGAGCAGGGTGACGTCCATTGTGCAGCCCTGCGCCGCTCTGGGGCCGGCGGGCATCGTGCTGGACCCCGGCCCTCCAGGGGAGGGGCCCTGGAGAGGTGGGGCGGAGGGGTTGCCATAACGACGGCCCTCGGACCGATTCCCCCTGCCGACGTCGTGCCCGAGCAGCCGGCCCGTCTGGCGTGGGGCTGACGGTGGGTCTTGCTGCGCAGGACCCCAGATGGAGGTCGGGGAGCGCTGCGCTACCGGGGAGCCATATGGCCGAGGCAGAGCGAGAGAGAGAGGGAGAGAGAGAGAGGAACCAGAGTGGGGAGAGGAAGAAGAGCTCGCTCGCTCTCTCTGGCACAACCCTGCCCCCGAGAACCAGAAGCCCAGCCGCTTGTTAGGGGAAAAAAAAAAAAAGCTTCCCCTTGGCAACAGCTTTCCATGAAATTAAAATAATCCACATCCTAACAATACTGGCGGCAGCGTTTTTTCGGAAGCCCTGTTTTGCCTTAAGAACTAATGAAAAAAAAACAACAGAGATCTAAAACAAAAACCAGCAAAGTAACTACACGCAGTATTTAGCTGGCTCTATCAGTTTCCGTAATCCTCTCGATTAACTCTACAGGCCATTGACTTAATGCAGCATTGCCCTGCGCAAGTAATATTACTTTACAACTGCCAGACTCACAATGCGGCCTTCTGTAAGAAAACCCCTGCAAGCACTGTCTACACGGAGAGACAGGAGCGCAGACGCGCTGCTTTGGATGCGTTTAAGTATCTACACCACCCTCTTTCTGTGTTTGTGCACTTTTGTAAGTTTCAGAACTCCTAAGTGCCGGCGTGTTTGTTTTAAAAGAGCAGTCTTTCTGGAACGGGAGGAAAACGGAGGGACAGAATATCAGACGACAAAAAACGGGCAGCCCACTTGTCGACTTCAATTGTGGAATTATTTTTGGCTCCCTGACAGCCACTACTTCAAACCCCTCTTCCTCACGGGATGCGGTGGGTGCCCACACAAAGGGGCCGAGGTGCCTGCGAGGTGTCAGGCCTGTTTCCTTTCTTCAGTGGCTCGTGGCGGGAGCTGAGGCCTTCGCGAGCTCTCTTCACTGCTATCGATTAGCTCGTGTCTGAGGGTCCCATCAAAGCACTCTGAGCCCCTCAGAAACACAACACAAAGGGAAAAACCAGCCCCGCAATAACAATGAGGGGGAAAAGAAAGATGAAACCAGCTGGCTCTCTTCTGATACAGCGGTCAGTTCCTCTCTTCTTCTTCTGAGGTCCCTAGAAGGTCTGAGTGCTTCAGAATGTTCTCTAGATAAGTCTCCGAGCTGCGGCTCATGCAACAATACAATTTTAACCGTTTCGGAACTAGCCTGACTGCACAGTATGTAGCCTGAAACTGTTCTACGTCCAGTCCTTAAGTTGCAACAACAGAAGTTTGAACTTTTCCAAACTTGTAAACTATTATTCAGCATAAAACGTGAACTCTGTCCTGTCCCTCACAGAAGTTTGGCCTGTTCTGAACCTGTAAAACAGTATTTAGATTAAAACACGAACCCAAATCTTTTTCCATCCAATGTCAAGTCTAACGACTGATTGCAAAGTCGGCGTATTTCGCCTCTAAGTGATTGGCGGAGCCGGATCTCTTATGGCTCCAGCCATGATTGCTCCCGGAAAGGGACACAGCTCGTTATTTTGAAAACACATGTACAGCGTGCGGCCCCATATGCGGCTCTTTGTCTGGCTAGGTTAATAACAGATAAAAAGAAGACGCCCGAGGTGTTGCGCGGTCACATGTTAAAGGTCGGCCGTGCTGCAGTCTAATTGAGGCGCCCCATTAGGAATGAATACCAATGTCTCAGTCAGTCAGAGGGGGTGGGGAGCAGCGAAAGTGGAAGGTCAGGTAGGACTGAGAGGGCTGAGAAATCGCGCCGCAGTGGCCGTAATTACTCTTTTTAGTCTATTAAGTGTTGTTGTTCCATCAAGGCTCAAGGGTATAGGACATGGAGAACATGATAAACTAATGTGTATTTATTACTCCCAAAGGATCAATTTACGCCGCCGTTTTCTGCTCAAGGAGCACAACACATACGCACACATACTGATAAGAAACGAAAAGACAGTGGATTACTTTTCTGTAGCTGACTCTCTAGCTCCTCCACAAGGAAGAGGGCTCTGCTTATTGTCTCCCGCACAAAGGAACAAGACTGCCGCCCTGACGTCCCAGCCACACCCAGCACTAGCTCTGGAACTCTGCAGCCTGCCAGATTCGGGTTCCAGAACTGCGCCGCGACGTCTCTGGGCACTCCCGATGCTGAGCAACGCGGCACTGCTGGCGTAACGACACTGTGATATTTTAAGCTTCTGTTTCACCTTTCCACATCAAGGACCCAGCTTTCATACTATTAAGCCGAACAGTGTGCGCCGCGCACCACTGCTGCCCTTAATTAAGTCCTTCATAACGATGCAATTCTCAGCGATAGCTCTTTCGGAAAGAGAAACACACACGCCCGCGCGCGCGCACGCAGGCACCTGCGCTCCCCACACAAAAACCACACGCGCAGACTGTAGCACACCAATCATTTGCCACACGCAGGGAGAGACACACGGCGACATGCACTTCTGCACCGGCACGTTACGTTTATTATTATTGGTAATAATGATTAATTATGCAACTGATGTCTTCCCCACCGAGTTCTGGGAAATTGAGCTCAAATAAATAGCAACACTCTAGGTTAGGGGTTGCAAATTCCACGTAGAATGTCTTTCTAACCACAACAGAGCCTAAACAGAGTGCTAATGACCCTAGCAGTTACTGATCCCTACTTACAATGATGTTTAAACCAGGTTACAAATCTCAGGTTGTTTTCAGATCTTAGTGTTTTTTTTCCCAACGATAAAAGGGATGTCAATGAAAGGAAAGCCTTTAAGAGCAGGGACAAGCTGTGAACAGATGAGGCCCTGTCTGCAGCGCTCAGTCAGGGCCGTTGCATTGTGGAACCTGCACAGCGCCTTCCCAGAGGCTCAGGGCACACACCGCTCACAGTTACAGCCCTAACGCTGCTGGCAGGGCGGAAGGAGGGGGACCCCAGAGCGAGAGGTCAGGAGATCCGAGGTCCCGGCCCTCTCCCGTCCGCTCCCTCGCCTAGCCAGGTGGGGGCGCTGTGGGGCACAGCAGACAAGCCGCCAGGGGCCGGAAGATGAGAAATGGGACTGACCTTTGGTAAACGCTCCGGGTCGCCGGGATGTCTGGGGATGACCTTCTGTAACCGCTGGAAACCGTAGTCGATGGTGGGCTCGTTCAGGGCTGCAGGGACACCAGACATGGGCTCACGGTTACAAAATACTTCAAGGCAACAAAACGGCACTGCTGCTGGGGGTGGGCATCGTAATTAGGAACCTCGACAGATCACTGGCATCGACGTTTTCCGTCACTTGTCTTTTAAAACTACGCCACTGAACATTTTCCGGAATGTAACCAGTGTGTGCGTTGAACTGGAGAAATGAAATGTGTGTGCAGGCTGCCAACGTCTACAGAACAGGTCTCTGCTCTCTTGCCTAAGTTGTCCTTAAGTCCTGACCCAGGCCAGACAGCACAATATTTTGGTATCTCAGGATGAGGAGGAGTGGACATGGAGGTTTCCTAACCGGAGTATCCCAGTCTGTGTATTCCTGTGCACTCCAAATCCAGACAATCAGGTCAAGCTGTGTGTGTTTTTTTCAACGCCACTGTTTCTAAATGCCACACAAACAGAAACAATTTTGTTTGGTTTCTTAAGCACACGGGACTAAATTACGAGCCAAGGCGCTGTTTTATAATGCTGTTAAAATAGTGTAATTGCCAGAAGTAGAAAGTATTTGTAATGGAATTTTTTTTTTAAGAAGGTGATGCAGTCTGTACTCTTCCTATGACTGAAAATACAAATGCAAACTTTTGAAGCAGGGATACATTTAAATACATGATCATGCTAATGGAAGTCATTTCATATTCCTATGAAAGTAGATTGCCCTTATTTATAAAAGTAAGAGTAAAATGCAGGTATGATAATCTAGGGATTTGAAAGGACATTTACTTTTAAATTTAGTGCAGCAATTACTCCAATAAACCCTTTATCTTGTCAAATTCCAAATCTAAAAGGCTGTCAGTCATTCATGAAATTGAAATCATGTTTATAACTGCAGAGTGACAGCGGCATACTTTTAATGGGAGATAAGAAGGGAAGAAGTGGCCAAGGATCCATTTACCAAGACACATTGTTTTAAAGACTTCGAACAGAGCACTACTGCCTTGCTTAAAAGGCAAATGAAACTGAAGGAAAGTAGTTGTAATGTTTTTTTATCAAGTACAACTACCACATTGTCAGGAGCTTCAGTGATTTCTGAGCACAAATGTTCTCATTTTAATCTCTAAGATGTTATCTTTTACCCCGTACCTACAGGAATATTAATCAGATCTGTGCCATCTTGTATTATTATCTGCATCCATAATACGTGAGAAACAAAAAAGTGTATTTTCTATACCACATAAATATATATGCTGCGTTCCCCAAATCAGGTTCTTCCCAAATTATTCTCTGTATTACGACTGTTCCTTTCCAGCACATGCATTTCAGGAGCGCTCTAAAGCAAACCTTTTTTTTTTTAAATAAATAAATCTCCTTTACAGCTCTCTGTGGTCAGAAAGATTAATAGCTTCATTTGCTGAATTAACCTTAGTGAATCTGGCTCGGGGAGAACAAGTCACATATTTAAGAAGGTCAAGAGTAGCAATTGATTACAGTTTTGCAGATGTTTTGCCGGTGGTGTGCAGATACAGTAACTAAAGGCAGAGTAGAAAAAAAACGCCTTGAAAAGCAAACTTTACACACAGACGGGTTCATGCAAAACAGTCACTGAGGGTTGGGACTTGAGGTGTACTCGGCATTCATGCAACCTGCTTTGGTAAGTTTTCTCATGTTTGGTGGAAAAACACTTATCGGGCACTCAAGGCACATTTCCTGTAGTCTGATGAATGACTGATAGCTTTGGGCAGAGCACAAAGATTTAGAATATTACCAAGAAAATTGGGGGGGCACAGCAGTGCAGGGGTTAGCTTTGCAGGTTCGATTCTGGACCTGGGCTGCTGGCGTGCTATCTGTGTAGTATCTGCTATGTACTCCCCATGTTCGCCTTTATTTCCTCCCAAGGTCCAAAGACATGGTGGTCAGTTAACTGGCTTCTAGGAAGACTGGCCCTGGTGTGAGTGTGTGCATGTCTGTGTGTGCCCTGAGACAGACTGGCGTCCAGCCCAGGGTATAACCCACTTCGCGCCCGTTGCTTGCTGGGATAGGCTCCAGCTCCCCCATGACCCCAAACTGGAGGAAGCGGTCAGAACACGGATGGACGGAGACGTATTTTAAAAAGACGTGTGCTGCCAAACACTCTTTTCCTCTGTTGGGCTCTTCTAACGGTGGAGGTCCTTTGTTACAGAGCCTGCAGCTTTCTGACACTGAAAAAAAGCTACCCTTGTTTTACACAGATTTCTGTATCTGTGTTTCTCTGTGGTGTTATTCTGTCGCTCCCTTTGGGCACGGATGACAAAGCTTTTCCGGCATTGCTCCAGCCTTCCCTGACTAACATACTTTAATGGAATCGGTGTCGAGGTCACTGAGGGCACGCTTTGCAAGGTGTGCACAAACAGCCCGGGAGAAGTTTCCTGTCTCAGCTCCGAGCTGAGGGGTCACTTTCCCCGAACGCCGTGTCCCAATTAAGTCTCTCAGCTCCTGTTATGTAATTAGTCCAACACGCCTCGTTATCGCCGCGCAGCCATAACAAGCACAATGCATCGTCAGGACCTCCTCCTCGCACGAGGATAAATGTTGCATTCATTTCATTCACGTGCACGTGCAGAGAGTGCGAGAAATTGAAATCATTCCGATCCGCTTTCCAGCACAACTAAAAATGGCCAAATTGACCCCCCCCCTTAACAAAAATCAACTGGATTTAGTTTTTATTAAAGAGCACTGTCCCTTTTTAATGTTACGGGGCCTGCTTAAGTTGAAAAACATCAACAAAAAAACATTTAAACTAGTTAAAACACTGTGGATCCTCTAGTCAAATTCAGATCTTTATACAGTACTAAGGAATCACAGGTGTGTTACACTCAGAATTCTACGTGTCAAATCTAGAAAAAGTGCTCATTTTTGTGGGTCATTTCTATTTTATTTAAAAAAGGAACCAGCTAGCATCACAGGCTTTAAAGCAATTCCTACAACACCAAAGCTCTATGATCATTTTCACTCACACTGCATGCAAACACTATTATTATCTGGTAGCAATAAAAGCAAAGCAAATCACACACAGAGAAGCCTCCTGTCCCCCCCCCTCTCTCTCTCTCTCTTCCTTGCTCTCACACTCTGCAAGTACATCTTTAATTTAACATAATGAATCCCTTTTGTGCCAACAAAGCTTCAATTGTTAATCAAAAGATTGTCTGATGTGACTGTGAGAGGAATTTGTTTCCTCAAGTCTCACAGCCAAGTGCAGCTGAATGATCGACACTTAATATAAGCAATTAAAAGAACTTGTTTAAATATCATATGGAACTCGTAGCTCCGGGGTGTTGTACAGCAAGCGCGATTGAGGGGATGGCGTCCGACAGCCACAGAAGTAATTGAATTAGGCACGTCTTAACATTATTATTTAAAGAAAAATAAATAAACTGTAGATTTGGGTGTCAGCACGGAGACACCGGGGAGAGTAGAGGAATGGCAGTAATATTAATCTCCTCGCTCTTTCCTCGCTCACTCTCCTCTTGGTGGGCTAAGACTCGGCTGTTCTCTGCGTAGGGCTTTATTAAATGAAGGTACCGTGTCAGACAATGCACGCTGTTTTTCTGCAAATGACATAGGTGAACGGTAATTACTGGCAAATCGTTCCACTTGCAACTTCCGTTTCCACTTGCCTGGAAGAAATTCCTACAAGGTTTCGCTGGAGGAACAAAGAAGTCATTAGAACTTTTTTTTTTTCCTAGTGTTTGCCTTGGCAGTGCTCCGTTTTTTCCTCTCTAAATAAGACGAGATCTTTCTGTGATCCAGGCGACAGATTATGGAGATTTGTAACGGCTGTACTTGACAATCTTTATTCTGTCCTGTTGTGATTAAAACAGTCTCCCCTGTATTGATGACATCTGTTTCCTTGGCACGTCTTTGGAGGAAAGTATTTTTTTTTAGCTCAATTTAACTTGCTTTCAAACATCAAAACACCGGTGCTAATAGCGTGTGTTCACCTACTACGCTAAAATTTGCCAGGAGACCATAATTAATTCTCTGCTTATACACCAACAGTACCCGACGTCTGTTCAGCAGAATCCAGTCAGGCAAGGCAGAAAAACTATTCAATAATAAAAACAATACAGTTTCCACTAGTGACGAAGAGAGCTGCTTCGTCCACTTGTAGTTACCAGAATTCTTTAACAAGGGCGACAAAATATCCCTGGCTGTAAGCACTAAAAAGATACGTAGTGTTTGTTTGGTCACAAGTCAACACCACCTAGGTGAACATACTTCAACTCAAGACTATAGATAATGATCACAAAGAATGCTTGGCTTCAACAATATGGCTGGATAGCTGGTTTCACATTCCCACCACTCTTTGTGTAAAGAAGTGCCTTCTTTTCTCATTTTTAAATGCCCTGCCGAGTAGTTTCCACCAGTGCCCTCTGGTTCGTGTTTCACTGTTGGTTCTGGAGAAGTCGGCAGGGTTCACTTTGTCAGTTTCTCTGAGGATTCTGAATGCAAGAATCAGGTCTCCTCACAGTCTCGTCTCTTAAAGACTAAACAGACTCAGGTCCTTCAGCCAGTCAGAGCGGGACATGCCTTTGGGACCAGTAAGTAAAACATTACACAGACTTCGACGTTCTCTCAGCTCGGGCCCTTCATTCTCTTGTTTCTTCTGTCTCCAAGGACTGGAAGTTAAGTGAGAGAAGGGAAAAAAAAACAATTCTCCTCCGAGAGAAAACATGCGTTAAGCGGTTGCGCAATTGTTAATTGTCCTCAGAGAATTTTTGAAGAAATAGACATCTACTTCGTCGGCAATCTGTGTGCGTTTTTTTTTTTCCTTATTCTTACAGCTTTCCTTCTGCTGCCCTCCAGGGCCCCCGGCCTGGGCCGTATCCTGGAGGCATGAACAGAACTTGCTGTTCAAACGGACATCTGATCGTCTCCCCCCCGCAGACGGGCTCGACTTCAGTAATCTATATGGGCCAATCGGGCCTCAGATGGCACTGTGTGGCGCTGGTGCGTGGCACTCCTGACACAGCTCCACTCA